TGGTAATTGACTTACATATATTACAAAAATTTGTAACAATGATGACCACTACGGAATGTAGTTTAGTGGAGGAAAATTATCTGCAGTAAACGACAAATGTCAAGCATCTTTTTCAAACGATAAAATAAACGGCCGAAATTTCGAACCGTTTATAAACCGTATAAAACAAATAAATAAAACAAACCATGCTTCTTTTTTTTCTGAACCAATAAATCAACTCTACAATTTTGAGTTTGAGAATTAACACAATATTTAAAAGAAATAAATAAACTTGTAGAACTGTGAAAAGATCTATATAATGGTGAAGTGGGGACGTGATCTTTAGGAGTTTTGAACATTTTTGTTTCGAATAAATCGGTATAATAGTTTTTGGACGTGATCTCCAAAAAGGCATTCTTTAGTTTTTTTTTTCTTTTGAGAAAAAGAAAAAAAAGAAGGCATTCCCTCTACATCCAACAAGAACTTTTAATTCTGCGTTTAAATGGATAATGTTTTTATCCCGATGACTCTTTACTCCTACTATTAGGGATATCGTCGGAAGAAATACAATTCCAACTAAATTATTTTGTTTTTAAAAGGAAATTTTATTCATCGAGTAAAGTTTAATGAACAAGAACTTGAAATAGTGAGTAACCAAATTTTTCGCTTCAACGGTAGTAACAGAAACATTGTAATGTATAAACCTAACTTTTTTTCGCGGTCACAATTTTCACGACCACTCGCAACTAATTGCCATTCCATTTTTTATATTTTGGCAGGCGGTCTGACCTCCTTGAAAAAGCTATCAGACTTTCTGTTAACATTGTATATATTGGTTTAGTGTCGCCGGTTTTGTTTATGATGTAAATCAATTTTGGTAGAGTAGATTGGTTTAGTATACTTGTATATATATTTTGTATCTGATACATTCAGTGATTAATGAAGTAATAAGAAAACATATTCAATACACAAAATGTGTTTCTCTCTCTAAACTTCATCTTCCTGATACTTTCCACTTTCCATTCGTGAAATTATTATTTTGAAAACTTAAGTATTTTTTTTTATGTGAAATTTATAGATCTCAATTGTATAATTTTGATAAAATCGACTAATATTTGATTTTTATCAAGAGATAATAAGTCACTAACCATAACAATATAGTTGGTGATCAAAAGGAAAAAAATACTTTCTTTAGTTTAGTTTTATAATTTTTTTTTCCGACAAAGTTACTTCATTCATTTTAACCGATCAAAGTACAAGGAGAGGAAATTAAACATCCTTCAGCTTTACTACAACATAATTGAAATGCAATAAAACTTAAAACAGATAGATCTTCGCAGAAGATGCTGGACAGAGGATCCAAGGTATGCCTCAGATGCATCCAGAAGGACTTCGCAGCAAGGCCGGAGAGTCTCAGGGTAGTCACGTTTGAATGTGACTTTGAAGGTCCCGGCAAAAAGCTCGGGAGTTCGACCACTCTCCATGAGAGGGAAGAAGATACGACCATGTTCAAAGAGATGGAAGAAGGTGGAATTGAACTCTTCCACCGCGAGTAAATTACAGGATTTGAGAATCCAGAAAACTTTGATCTTCTCTCAATAAAGAATATATCGAGCTCGCAAATTACAAGATTTGAGAATCCAAAAAACTTTGACTTTCTCACAATAGAAAGGGTATATGATTCAAAAGATCTCTCCCAGCAAGTGAAGGAAAGTAATAACCTGTTTCTTCTGGAAAATTGAGGAGGAGATTCAGCGAGTATAGAAACAATAATAAACCAGATTTCATGGAAAGCCCATACACATGTTGGGCCAATATATCCAACAAAGTGTGCAAAGGGAGGCCCAAACAACAGGCTTGGAATCGGCCCACTTCCAACCAACATCTTGATACGGTGTTGCAACAATGTCGACGAGACTGTTCCGGCCAGCCGACTTGTCTTCACCGGAAATGAGATGCACACGGTGAAGCGCTTCTCCAGATAAACCCAGACCAGACCCAGATTAATGTAAACGCAGAGAATTAGAATTTAACCTTTTACAGGAGAAATTAGGGTGCTCGGAATAACGCCGGAACCGGTATTTGGCAATACGAGGGCGGCGGCGGCGGCTATTTTCCGGGCTTCATATGGATTGATAACTGAGGAGCGATGGAAGCAGGAGAAGACGCACGAGTAGAGCAAATTGACAAGAGTTAAACCTTCGGCTATGTCCGAGAATGGAGCTTGTATGGTGAAGGACTGTGAGCCAAGAAGGATATATGTACTCGACCTCAATTTTACATGGTGGTGGTGGACGACGGAGGACCGAGATGAGCCGTGACCAGTAGATCTACGATTTTGAGCGAGTAAATCCGCACCATGGTGGAGCAAATCAAGTACAAGTGAGCATATGAACATAATCGAAAAGACACGTGAGCAGGGAGGGAAAGACACAGTCCGATGCCGGCGAGTCAGAGCTCCACCGACGTCTAGAAAATGATGAAACTATGGTTGCCTCGATATCTGTGAAAGAGAGAGTTATAATCTATGTGTTTATGATACATTCGGTGATTAATGAAGTAATAAGAAAACATATTCAATAGACAAAATGTGTTTCTCTCTCTAAACTTCATCTTCCTTATATATTCCACTATCCATTCGTGAAATTATTATTTTGAAAGCTTAAGTATTTTTTTTTACGTGAAATTTATAGATCTCAATTGTATAGTTTTGATAAAATCGACTAATATTTGTTTTTTATCAAGAGATAATAAGTCACTAACCATAACATAGTTGGTGATCAAAAGGAAAAAAACACTTTCTTTAGTTTAGTTTTATAATATTTTTCTTGTTTTATAATCTAACTGATAAAATATTATAAACATTCATCTATATTGTAGAAAGAGAAATGGTACACGGCTTCACTACACAACAAGAAAATCGAGTCAACTTGGATGTACAAGATTACTTAAAGAAAACATAATAAATTAAACTTTCTGTTGAATTTTTTTTCGTGTTTAAATTTTAAAAAATTGCAACAATCAAACTTCGTCACTTATTTGGATAATTTTCTCATATTGATAAGCACAAATCCGGCTCGACTCAAAATGTTGAAAAGAATTGGATTTAAATTCGATCTTGAAATTTAACGTTTTGTTTTAAATAAAATGAATTTTCTGGGGTATTGGAATTTCAATTAAAAAATGGAAGGATTTTCCTGCAATATATAATAGTTTTTTCAATATAAATATAATTTCAAACTTGTAAAAGATTCGACACCGAAACATTTGACATTGTCAATAACGTGCTGAAGTCACAGTTGTGACTTTCTTAGTAAAACTCTCTTCATCATTTTCATAGTAAGTTTTTTAAAAAATAAATCATTTTCATAGTATTCGAGACGACTTAGTTGAGTCTTCATATTCTATTTATTAGTTTGATACGTAATCATTTTCAAGGATATAAATATTTGGGATTCTAGTGTGCTTTTTTATTTTTATTTTTTATAAATCGTTGGAGTTCCGAACCTCTGATTCATAATTTCCTTGGTACCCGGAGGTAATCTTTGGATATTTAATTTAAAGAATAATCCTCTGTACCAAAAGAGGTTTGAACCCGGGACACAAAAGAACCAACCTCTTTGCGTTAAACGCATTTAATAACTTTAACAATTAATTATAACAATTTAGTAGCTAATTCTTATGTAAATTAATTCTAACAAGTTACAACTAAGTGTTTTGTGTACATTTATAAAATTTTTATGTAAATTACTAAATAATAATATATTTTTATATAAATTTATGTATATAAAACAAATATTTTATTTATTTTTTCTTTTTATGTAGGTAATTTTGATTTTAAATAAATAAATCACAAAAGAACACATGAACACAAGAACACATAAAATTAATATTATATATTTTGAACACGATTGGAGAAATTATGGATTTTTGTCCAAAATTTTCTGATAATTTAAAAAATAAAAAACGCATTTATGTTTTTTTTAATTCAAATCCCACCAAAGCCAGATTAACTCGTAAAAATCAAACTGACTCATATGCTAACTCTTTCTTATCTAAAGTTGTAAGAAAAAGGGTTGGTGCTCAAAACAGTTACACACGATTTCTATATTGACATTTAAGTTTAACTCCTTTTATTAATTAAATAATGCTTTCAACATTGTTAACGAAAAGAAAAAAAGTGTTTCTCCTGCCGTAATATTTGAAAAGTAATATGCTTTTTGAGAATATGTAGATGTTTTATATCATGCGACTCAAGTCATACTCAATATTCATACTTGTCCCAATTTATTGATATCTAATTTGATCTGTTCTATTCAATTATTTAAATCACATGGATAAATTGACAAAGTAAAACAAAGATTAAAATTTGATATCTTTACACACCAAAATAAATCACAAATAATAAAAATATAAAAGTTGGACTATTTATTTCTGTTTTTATAAAAACCCATTGTTAGTGGAGAAAACATATTTATGGGCCTATTATTGATACTCGTTTAAACCTTTAATGGGTTCTTAATAAGCTAATAGTGTGTAATACGATTGGGCTTTATACTTGGCCCATTAAAGCATTTCACCGTCGTAGCTTCGAGAAACATTTCATAAACCCTAGCAAAAACTCTTTCTTCTCTCTTCATCACAATCTTCTTCTCTCTCTTCGTTTCAAGGCAAAAATCAGAGGCCAAAAAAATGGGTAGCCAACAAGCGGCGGTTTCGTTCCTTTCCAATTTGGCTAAGGCAGCTTTCGGTCTTGGTACGGCGGCGACGGTGCTGAACACTTCGCTTTTCACCGTTGACGGCGGAGAAAGAGCGGTTCTGTTCGATCGATTCAGAGGAGTTATGGATAAGACTGTTGGTGAAGGGACTCATTTCTTGATCCCTTGGCTCCAGAGGCCTTACATCTTCGATATCCGCACAAAGCCTCACACTTTCTCTTCAATTTCCGGTACGAAAGATCTCCAGATGGTTAATCTCACCCTTCGTGTTCTCTCTCGCCCTGAGGTATATAATATCGTATACCTTCTTGATTTATGAACTCGATTCGTTTGATTTGGGAATTGGATTTAGGGTTTAGGGTTTTCTTGATCTATTGATTGCACCATGAATTTTGGGGTTTAGGATTTTCTTGATCTATTTGATTTAGGGTTTAGGGTTTTCTTGATCTATTGATTTCTTGATCTATCTGTGTATATACATTTGTAACTCAAGCTTGATTCATCTGAAGATAGATCTTATGGGTACACTCTTAGTGTCTTTGTTGCTTTAATCATATGAGATTTTGAGTATTTGACTTGTTTATGTGATGTAGTCATGCCTTAAGGCTTCATGTATGATGAATTATTTGTGTCTATGCTGCTTTTAATCATATGAGATGTTTTGAGTTATTGACTTGTTTATGTGATGTTGTTATGTGTTAAGTTGACTTGTTTAGAGTATGAATAATTGGTAGTATCTATGCTGCTCTTAATCATATGAGGTTTTTGAGTGATTGACTTGTTTATGTGATGTAAATCGTGCGATAAGGTGACGCGTCTCCCAACGATTTTCCAAACCTTGGGTCTAGAGTATGACGAGAAGGTTCTTCCTTCGATTGGAAATGAGGTTTTGAAAGCCGTGGTTGCACAGTTCAACGCTGACCAGCTCCTCACTGAGCGTCCTCACGTCTCAGCACTTGTTCGTGATTCACTGGTCAAACGTGCCAAAGATTTCAACATTGTGCTTGACGATGTGGCCATCACGCACTTGTCGTATGGTGTTGAGTTCTCAAGGGCGGTTGAGCAGAAACAAGTGGCTCAACAAGAGGCAGAGAGGTCTAAGTTTGTGGTGATGAAGGCTGATCAAGAGAGGAGAGCTGCGGTTATAAGAGCTGAGGGTGAGAGTGAAGCTGCTCAGTTGATCTCTGATGCTACGGCTAAAGCAGGTATGGGACTTATCGAGCTTAGGAGGATTGAAGCTTCAAGGGAGATTGCAGCTACACTTGCTCGGTCTCCTAATGTGGCTTACTTGCCCGGTGGACAGAACATGCTCCTTGCTCTGAACCGTTGATCTTGATCTGACGGGTAAAATGGTAAGTAAAAAAATTCAATTTGAAACCATAGAACTAAGAGATTTATTGTTGTGTGTTTTGTCTGAATACTTTGTCTTTGTTGTTGGATATGCCAGGTTATATGAGGAACCATTGGCGATATTTTACGATCAAGTTGTGAATCTGGATTGAATCAAAATGGTGAAATGCTCTTTTGTTTTGTGATGAACTCTGAAGAAGAAAAAAAGTACATTAGTTGCTTGAGTTATCAAAAATGTTCTTGGGATTATATTTGCCATGTTTGAGATATCTAACTTTCAAAAATAATTCTGCTTTTGTTATGATTAAATTGAAAAAAAAAAATATTTTCTACTAAATACTATTATAAATAATATTGTAGTTTCTGATTTTAATTCGAATTGTGAGAAAAGCGTATACTCCATCCGATTTACTGTAGAAGTTTTAATTGATTTTGGGACATCGTAATCTCGATTTGTCCTAGTCCAACAATCTACTGTATGAACCTTGAAATGATGATATCTCGATCAATTTACATTCTAATCATATGTACACTATGTTATTTTCAAATTCCCTTTCTAAACATTGAACCGTTTATTAATCTTCTTGACCAAATTAAATTAATTAGGGTTGAGGAGAAAACCACCAAAGAACTGAACTGAATCTGAGCCAAAATTATATGAACCGGATTCGGTTTATGATCAATAAAATGAAGAGTGAATTTGGTGAATAATAATTCAATAACTAAGAAAATGTGTATATGTGACAAAATCTAAGCCATTGAATTTTAAAGAATTAGTTAGTTATTAAATTATAGTTTTTTTTCTGTTGGTTATTAGTGCTAATTTTCCTAAAATGAATATGTAGAC